TGTAACCAATTTTGTTTTGATTATAACACAGAACAATTTAATAGTCTCAGACCCCCTTTTTGCTGGTGGACATCCCATATAATAACAACCATAAACCATTCAAATTACAATAACTGTGCTAGCAACTTCCACCTCTCTTTTTACATCTAGTAGTAAGTTTGAGAGATAATACTGCCTAAGACAAGAAGAATTAGTTTAAAAAAATGTCAGATCCGCAAAATAAATTACAGTATTTAATAGACCTTCCTCAAATGTGTGGATCCATTTTGCTAAAAATCACATAAAAATTTAAAGAACATTTACTCTGCACAAAAAAGCTTATTATGGACAACCATAGAACCTTTTATCACATTTGGCAAACCATTGTACTCGTGAAATTGGAAGAGAATGTTTAAGACAAATAAACAATGATAGAACCTTTATGAAAGCACATTGTTAACAAAAGAATGCAATGATTCTGTTAACTGGGAATTAATCAAAACATTTGTTCGCTGTGGAATTTCTCTTTCAGTTGTAGTAATACATACTTTATAGATCTTCTTCAACAACTCTGTCTGCGTATCAACCACCATCTAGGAGTGTTTTATCTGGAAAATTTCTTGATACAGAAATATCTAATGTTTCTAAATGGAAGTGCAAGTTTACAGATTGAAAATAATGACAATTTTGAAAACAGAGTCAATCATTACTTAGAAAATGAAGATTGTAATTTAGAAGATGGGAATAATGATGTTAACACAAATAATGATAATTGCAATTTAAACAATAGAAAGGCAGAAAAAGATACAATGAAGGAAAATGGTTCAATTACGGAAGAAACAAGGGTTTGGATGAAGGATTAAAAAAAGCCGACAAAAAAATTATAGTTTGAGCTAATTTGGATAAATATTTACTAAATAGAAAAATCGGATTATTTAGTTTAATATTTACTTTTAATTTTGTTTATATTTCTTTTTGTTATTAGCTTATATTCACTATTATTAAAAATAATAGATATTACCTTTTAGCGTGATTAATTCTGAAAACAAACCTATTCTAGCTACCAAATGGAACCTTCGTGATAATTAAAGAATATGCTAAAGTAAATCCGCCTGAATTATCTTAAAACTAACAGAAAAAATTCGATAAATTTGATTATTTGAAATGATGAAATTCTAAAACCTGAAAACCTACAAAAAAGACATATAAATGATAAATTTCACATACAGATTAAATTTAATTTTTCTACAAAATAGAATAACTTAATAAACGCCACCTTTTCACATTTCAAGATGACAAAGTCAAGGAACTTAATAATAATTTTGAAGATGACTGCCGAAAATAAAACAATAACAATGTTGATGCAACTTCGAATAGTTTTTCTTTGCCTTGTTAATAATGATCTTGAGCATGATGAATTTAACAGAACGTCTAATAGCATAAGATTTGTTCTTTGTGATTATTCCACCAAACTAAATGGAATAGATATAAAAGATGCCAACAACAATGAAAAAATAACACCCACACAG